GAGTTATAAGATATTACTAAGATTTATATAAGCTTTATTTACTCATCTACTAAAACATTAAAAATATAATATTTCACTCTACTAATTTATAAGCTTCATAGCCGGGGTATTTTAAAATTTAATCTTTAAAATAAAATCTAAGAACTTTATCAGCCCATAAAACATTTTATCGAAATTAGGAGCTTAGAAGATATTTTAAATAAGTTTAGTCAATGTTGTAAGAACCGGACCGGACCGGCCGGTCGGACCGGTCCGACCACGACCTACAAGAAAAACGGTCTGGTCTGATGCTCAAAACCTGAAAATTCAAGAACCCGGTCCAAATGTCAAAAACCCGGTTCGACCGGCGAAAACCGGCGACCCCGGAAACCGGTTAATGACCCCGGTTTTTATCTAAAACACTTTGTTGGTGGTTGTTGGCGGTGGGATATTGGCGGAATTCGCCGGAGGTGGCCGGATCTGGGTGGAGTAGACTGGTGGTGGCCGGAATTTGACAAATCTAGCCATGGGTGGCCGGAATTTGAAGTGTCTGGTCGTGGGTGACTGGGACAGTTTGTTTGGTGGTGGATATGGAGTGAGAAGAACGAAGAAGAAGATAGAAAAGAAGAAAAAGAGAAGAAAAGAAAAAAGAAAAAAGAAATAAAATGAGAGAGCAGTGCACATAAGTGATAAAGAAGAAAAAGTGGGGGTGGGGAATAATAAATAAAATAGTTTATATATAAAAAAATAATAATAAAGGGAAAAGTGGTGTGAAAGATAGAAAAAATATAATGAAAATATAAATTTAAAATATTAAAATTAATAAAATAATTAAAATTTTCAAAAAATAAAAAACCCGGGTCGAACCCGGTTGAACCAGTCCAACCATGACCCAAATGCCAGTCCGGTTTTGTGTCCGGTCCGGTTCTGATAACATTTAGTTTAGTCAAACTGACTGTTAAATAGTTTGGGGTCCTTCAACTTAAGGATATAATCCAATAACCTTTTTTTACTTTTATTTTATTTATTTTTGTTAAATATTTCTTTTTTTTTTTTCTTCTTACACATAATTCCAGGGGTAGATATAGGAACAAAAGAAAAATGATTTCCGCCAATTTCGATTCAAGATTGTGTAATTTTGGAAATGTGTATTACAGAGAAAAGAAAATACGTATCTTTTATTAGGGCTTTCTCTTAAAAAATAAGAGTCGTGTCCCAACTTTTTAAATATTGCAGACACTGCACGAAACTGGTGTTCTACTTTTAGTGAAATCATGGTCCGATACGGGTGTCCGAGCTGTGTCCGAGTGTCCCGATATCGGATACCCGGATTCTTTAGATTTTAGAAGTGTCCGTGCAGCATAGATAACCAGTATTATTATGTCTTATGTATTTTAGGCATTAGAGAAATCCGTAAAAAATATTCACTGAATTAGGTAGAAAACAAAAAAAAAAAAATTACATATATATATAATAATTAGTTAGCTAGTACCATATTTTCCTATCATCACCTCTATAAATACCATCAATTTCTCACACCAAAAAACCACACACTACACAAATATAACTACAAATCCTCCATAATTCTACAAATTAAATACACTTCAATTTCATCCACAAAAAAATGGCGGCTCTAACATTCAAAGTAACGAGGCAAAACCCGGAGCTAATCCCTCCGGCTAAGCCGAAGCCACACGAATTCAAATCACTCTCCGACAAAGACGATCAAGAGGGACTCCGTTTCCAA